ATTTTGTTAGAGGAAGGATAGTTGGTCGAGCAGATGGTGAAATAAGTCAGCGGCAAATTTCGCAGAATTTGGAAATCTCTGTAACAAACCTGGGCACAAGAGAGCCCAATGCCGGCAACTTCAACACAGGAAAGATGCCACGGCAGGAAAAGCTACTACCAAGAAAGGTTGTTGGAACAATGGAGAGCAAGGACATATGAGGAGCCAGTGTAAGAAGAATTCTACAAACAAATCAGCCTCTGGGAGACCACTAGTGGTTGGTGTTAAGGGACTCCCACCAAACGCCACTGTGAAAGTCCCAACAGATAGGTGTAAAATGCCAAGCACACAGAGTGTCTACGTGACAGGAAAGCTGAATGGCCAAAAGTGCAACTTTGTCATAAATTCTGCATCTCAGCAAACCTTTGTAAGTATCAAGGTGCTAGATCACAAAGGAGTACCAGAAGCTGTAGAGAAGCTCTGTGGTGGACAGGACATTATGCAAGGTTGTGGAGACCAGTGTAGGTAATTATTGAGTTCATGGGTATGAAGGACAGACACAAAGTATACTTCGATGACATTGAAGACCAATGCATATTAGGGTTGGACTACTTACTACCGAGGAAGTGTGTAGTTAACTTCGATCAAATGACGATTGGGAACAACGATGGCCAAATTCCAGTAAGTGTTGATGCATCTCTTGATTTTAATCTCACAGCACTTAACTCAGCTACAATACACCCTATGTCACAGAAGGCAAGAAAGGATGTCCTCTCCCAGAACATTTAACTGACCTCTATAAGAAGAGTATAGTCCGTTTGTCATCATCACAGGCTCTTCAGGTTAGAGAACTTTTGGCGAATTATGCAGACGTCTTTTTGAAAGGAGATCATGACCTCGGCTGCACAGACTTTGTAGAGTACAGAATAATCACCGTCCAATAAAGATCCCTCTGAGAAGAATAGTTCAGGCAAAGCGACAAGAGATGGAGAAGGTGTCATGAATGGCCTAATTAAGGAAGGGATAATCGAGAAATCAGATAGTCCCTTGTCAGCTTCTGTCGTGTTAGTCCAGAAGAAGGATGGGACCCAATGTTGCTGTGTGGCCAAGGTCTCTGGTAAAACTGTGTGATGCCATTCGGGCTTGGCAATGCTCCAGCAACATTTGAGAGGCTGTTGGAAAGAGTACTGGAAGGCCTACAATGGAGGAAAGTCCTTGTGTACCTGGAAGATTTATTGTGTTTGCAACAACGTTTGATGAAGAAAGTCCCGGCTAGAAAAAGTATTCAAGCATTTGAAAGCAGCAAGCCTCAAACTCCCAAGAAATGCCACTTGTTCCAGTGGTGCTTTACTTGGGTCACACTGTAAGTGAGCATGATGTGCGAATTGTTCCTGACAAGATGAAAGCAGTGTGTGATTAGCCAACACCAGACAATATGGGAGAGTTAAGAAGTTTCTTGGGACTCTGTACCTATTACCGAAAGTTTGTGAAGGACTTTGCAACTATAGCTGCTCCACTACATGATTTACCCAAAAAAGGCCAGAAGTTGAATGGACAGTTTCTTGCCAGCATGCTTTTAAAACATTGCAAGAAAAATTGGCCTCAACCCCACTTTTAAAGCTTCCAAATCCCTGGATTGTGATGCTAATAATGTCGGAATTGGAGAAGTGTTGTCTCAGAAAGTGGGCGAAATCAAGCATGTGGTGGCTTACTTGAGTAGGGTCCTGAGTAGACCAGAGAAGAACTACTGTGTAACATGGAAGGAACTCCTTGCTATAGTAAAGAGTCTGACATATTTCCATCCTTACCTCTATGGCGCCAGGTTTACCATCAGGACAGACCATGCTGCATTACACTGGTTAAGATCATTAAAAAACCCAGGGGGACAACTGGCATGTAGGATCGGAAAGGTAGACCAGTATAATTATGATATTGAATACAAAGAAGGAAAATCTCATGGAAATGCCGACTGACTGAGCCGAAGACCCTGTAAAAATTACTGCCGACATTGCTGTAAAAGAGAGAGGTTGAACTAACCAGGTGCCATCAAGCTAAAGTCAAAGTGACTGAAGGAGTTGGTGATGGTGAAGTGGAACCAGGTATAAATATTAAAGCAGAAAAGGAGAAAAATCAGATTTGAAGCAATAATTGATTTTCTACAAACAAGTGTTTTGCGCCCTGCTTGGGAGAAGGTGTCTAGCTTAAGCCCTGTGACAAAGAAATATTGGGTACAAAAGGACCAATTGAAGCTTGAAGATGGGGGTCTTCTCTGGAGATGGGAAGCTGTAGATGTGAAAGTGACGACCTGGCAAACAGTTATACCGAGAAATTTACGGGAAGTTGTGCTATGTTAATCCCATGATAGTTTAACAGGAGGACATCTTGTAGTTAAGAGGTCATTGAGTCACCTACGGTAGATATTTTACCGGATAGGTATGAGGCAAGATGCGGAAGAATGGTGCAGGATATGCAGTACATGTTGTGCTAAAAGGGGACCCAAGCATAAGGGACGTGCTCCAATGAAGTTATATCAAGTTCGTGCAACAATGGAAAGATTAGCCATTGACATTGCTGGTCCATTGCCCCAAAGTCGTGATGGAAATACTTGTACATTTGTGTGGTGATGGATTACTTCACCCAGTGGCCTGAGGCATATGCAATACCAAATCAGGTAGCTACAACTGTATCTTCGGCTATTATATTCGGCTTTGATGTATTTTAATTTTATGTTTGTAAATTCTGTACATTTAATCAAGTTATTGTTAATTATCTATTGGTTTAATGTAAGTGGCGATTACTAAGGAAGGGGCAGTGTTATCACAATGGAAGGCATGCGATGCTGGGAGCATGCTCGCTGGAGTTTCTAGAAGGATCATGACTTATCGAGGAACTCCACGAATACCCGAGTGTTTGCCAGGCACCCTCTTTTTTTAGTATATAAGCCTGGAAAAGAAAAATATGCAGATAAATATGCATATAGATTGAAGAGATAGATAATTGAGTCAATCGAACAGTAGGCACTGTAAGTAAAGTGTGAGAATCACTGTGATTTGTAGCGTGTGTTATAAAGGTTG